TTCCCCCCAGCACTTGAAGCCTCACGAGCATTGGCGTCTTTACTTTTTACAAGAAACCCAACTTGAAGTCTTGCTTAGCTTAGATTTTATTATTAGCCAGAATTAATTTCACTTGAGAAGAGAAGAGGAATTTCTTGTAAAAGTTAGTCCTTGGGCTTAAAAAAAAAAATAAATACAACAACAAAGGCTCATTAAGTTTTAACGCTGGTTGTACTGGTAGGTGGGCATACAACAGGTTTCTCAGATGAAAAAAAGCCGTTATTAAAACCAACAGGTGTGCACGTGTCAGTGTTTCAACCAGCACAGCTTCAGGCAGTATTGACGATTGCCCGTAACTGAAATATCCGAGTGCTCTGTTTTCCAGTCCCACTGGGTATCCTTGAAAGCGGGGGTTTTTTTTGGGGGGGGGGGATTGGTTTTCCTGTTGCTGAATAAGCCTCCAAATGAAATATTTCTGTTTCATAGACAGATGCTGAGGGAGAAAAAACCAACTAAACTTTCTTAGCAGATGTAGAACTGCCAAGTTACGTGGCTGATGTGGCTAATGGACTTGTCTTCTTGCTTTTATTGAAAACCGCCTACCGAGGACCAGCCCTACGATTCCAGCCTGGCATTTAGAAATCGTCTGCGGGGAAGTGGTGTGGGTGCAGGCGTCGACTTAACGGGGGTGCGTGAGCAGCCCCAACTTTGTGGCATCTTAAGTACGAACAGTAACAGGTATAGAGGGGAGGAGGGCTCGGCCTGCCTGTATCTAAAATTCAGGTGCTCTGTATGTGAAACGCTTTATTCCCGAGCTAGAGTCGGGTTTGTAACTTCACGTGGGGGAGTTCAAAAGTTGCAGATAACGGAAGGAAAACGGGGAAACTTGAGATAAAGTATTGGAGTTGTCATTCACCTCGCTGTTTGTCGCTTCTGTAGCAGATTGCTTCAGCTGTGGGTTAGCTAGAGCTCAGTCTGATTTTTAGGATAAACTCAACAATTTAATTCCTTTTTTAGATTTATATTCTGAAGTTCTTTCAACAGGCTACTGTTGGTTTGTATTTTAAATGCCAGTTTGACAAAAAACTTACTTGAGCTATCAGGTTTTGTGTCTCTCTCCTTGGGGTAGCCTCACGCTGCGCTTTTGCCGGGGAACTCTGGCGTGATTTGATCGCCCTCTGATCCTTTCTCCATCACTTATTTTTAGTAGTGCTTAGCAAACGATTAAAAATTACTGCATGGTGTTTGACTTGAGAGGTTCTTTCCATTTCTTCTGGAAATTTGTGGGCTATCTTTGGTGCTGAGCCGGCAGGAGATTAGCCGTTTGGTGTTTTAGCAGTTAAACTGCAATGCTTGAGCAAGAGGATGAAGCCGCAAGGTGATACAGCCTAAAAGCTTAGCTGGGTCTCGCTTGCTGCTAATTGTAACTTCAGCTTGCAATTCAAAGGCTTAAAGCAATGTTTACCTGAGAGAAGGACGGGGAAAATAAAAATCTGGTTTCTGTTGGATTCTCCGTTCCAAGCTGCAATTTCTAATTGTATGCTCATAGTTTTCAGATTCTTTTTTCCTACTCAGAACTGGATTGACAACCAGAGCTGTCTGTGGCACTCATGTATGTACCAAGTGACCAGAAAATTGGACTTTTCAGCCTGCTTTTTATTTTCTAAAAACATGCTAAAAGCTAGCTCTAATGGCTGTAAGACCTGCAAGCTTTCATTGATGAGGAGACCAATCTGCAATCTCACTAGGTTAAAAAATCATTTTACCTGTGTACTTATTTGCACTGCATCACCCTGACCAGCTTTCGAGAATTCATGGCTTCATCCTCATAAAATATCTGCAAGACAGAGGGATGTAACTTCTCCAGCGGACTGAGGAACACGGATTAAAATTAAAAGCTTCAAACGTCATTTCTTTCATCTAGCTAGGTTCCAAGTCTGTATTTGTTGCCCAAAGAGAAGTGATTTGATTTTCTTGTACTCTCCCCACCAAAATATTCAATGCCCGCTAATGTCACTTCCAGCAACTGGTATTTAAAAAATAAATAAATAAAAATTAAATTGGTGTCACACCATAATGATAGCCACTACAGCTAGGTGATGGTAAGGTCACCTGCTAATGCGTTGTTTTTTAATTCCAGTGGATTTGTGGATTTTTTTTTTTTTTCCATTGGTAATGTTACGGTGAATAAGGTGAGATTTTAATTTCTTTTTGCTTTAAGGTGTTCAGTTGTCCTGGAAGACCCGAGACTCTCAGCAACGTTTGCCATTAGTGCAGAAACTTAAAAGAATCCCTACCAAATCTTACATTTAAGTATTGAAATTCAAATATTTTTTTGCGGTTGTAACTTCAGTGACTCATTTAAATGCCTGTTTTGTTTCAAGCGCCCTGAAGATGCTTTTCCTTGGTCCGAGCCGGAGGACTGGCAGGCAGCACTGCCCGCATCTCTGCCGTTCCCCTTCCTGGCTACGGTGCGGGCAAGCATTCGGCTCGAGCAAGCAGCCTGAGTGGATCACCAGCCATCTTCAAGTTGACTTTCAGGAGCTTTCTTTAGGGCTGGACCCATTGTATTCTTTATTCCAAACGAAGCCGAAGCCAGAAATCAGGTTTCCGTGTGTTTTCTCCTCTGCGGCTGCTCGTGTCGATGCCTGCTTGCCCCGACCTGGCTCATCCAGAGACGTGGGAGGAACGGCGGAGGTGCAGTGAGCTCATTTTGAGAGCATCGGTCCGTACGAAGCAATTGCGCAATATGAAATTCAAAAAGCTGCCAAACCATCAACTTGATTTGTTGAGAGGAGAGCGGGGTGAGAGTTGAGCAGGTCTCTCTTTGTTGGGAACTTGCAAAGCAGCTGCTAAAAAAAAGCCGCAGGTCAAGCTCAGAGGGATTGCCACCCATCTCAACTTCATGGATTTCTAGCTTGGGTTGGGAAAGGGCAGGGACAGCAGCTTTGAGGTCCTTCTCGACACGTGGGACTTGTGGTTTTTTGGGCTCCACCACATCTCCAGCACCAGCCGTGCACGAGGAGTGGGAGAAAAGTGGCACCTGGGGGATGCCATAGAGGTGGGCTTCGTGCTGGTCCCGGTGGGCTGGCGTGGAGAGGAGGGCGCGGAGCTGGCTGGGAGGTTCTGGTGGGCTTTGAAAGTGATGAAAGCAGGGAAGCAGCTGAAAGGAGGAGAAAGATGAAGGTTTGTCTTTTATTTCAGGTATCAAGCAATTTTAGAGAATCACATTTTTCCTTTCACTTTGGATTTAAAAACCAAAACCCGCCACTTTTTAGGAGGTTCAGTCTATTGGAATTGCTTGGGATAAGAACAAACTCCTGTAGCTTGCTCCTTTTTTGGGACCTGAACAGAAAATGGTGTAGCTTCACATTAGCTGAAGTAAATTGCATTGACGTTTTTAGTAAGTAGTTTTATGCCACATATGAAGTAGTAATAGTAGACATTTAAAAGAAGATTTACTCGCACTGCTGTCATCTAACAGCAGGTTCAGATTGCTGTGGTTAAGGCTGTGTCAGCAGTTGTGGCTTTCTCTGGTGTAAAACTGCTTCTGAAGGCTTTTGATTCGTGTTTTTACATCGTACGAGGCAATGTTACACACGTTGAACAGGTGGATCAGTGTCACTTTCATTTATGAGTGAGGTGGGCTATGATTTTTAGTATTCTCTAAATACAATTAATCTGAGGGTTTGTATGAGCTTGCTTGTTTGTCTTAAAGAAATTAGAAGCCACTCCTTGTAACTTTTGCTTTTTCCTTTTCCATCTGAGTAATATCTTACTCTAGGGCTACTTGCGTTTTACGTCTTCCCAGATGAAAAATACCGAACAGCATAGGGTAAATGATAAGCATTCCCTTTTGGATTAAGCAAAGACAAGAAAAAGTGTTGATGTTTCCCATCCCACTTTGGCCAGACAAAGTCCTGTCGCTGTAGGACCATTTTGGGAGGAGATTCCTGTGGGAGGCCGAGCGGAGGAGCTGGTGTCAGCCCACTGGTGCTGAGCAGCGAGGCGCTGCCGGAGGTGCTGTGTTTTGTCCGGGGTGCGATACTGGTGACCGAGTGCCCCCCCCAAGCAATTTCTGGGTGCAGTTCTGGGAAGAACAAGTTCAATACTGTGCTCTGATTGAATTCAGGTATTCCTCCGTTATTCTAACTGCAAATGTCTGTGCGTTTCTTGTCTTGAGAGTGCTGGTGCGTACCAGGCACTTCGCCTCGTAAGTAATTGCTTTTAGGGTGAGATCTCATTTAAACGTTTGCGCTCGCTTGCTCTATTTTTACCCAGGGAACTTGTTCCTTGTTACCGGTGCTGGATTTTAAGTCCCTTAACAAGGTTGGGACTTGCCACGCTCTCTGAGATGCTAGGATATTGGAAATATAGCAGGCATAAAACCCTTTCCCAGCACTGCCTGGGAAGCTGCAGGTACCTCAGCAGGTGGAAGATCTGCCCTGTTGCATGAGCACATTGCATTTCTTACCCAAACCATCAGTGCTGTCCGCAGTCCAGCGTAAAATGAGTCGGATTAAAACAAAATCCCTTTTCCTGACCTGCCTTTGTATTTTCTTTCTTGTTGGACCTCTCACGCAGGGTGTACAGACCACTCGCGTTCGCAGAGATGAACGAATATTTCCATTTGAAGTGTGGGATTGAAGGTAGCTTCCTACTAGAACCAGGAATGGACCCAGGGCTTTTCAAAAATCAAGATAAATCCTAATCCACAAAACGTATATGCTGCAATATCTGTCAAATGCCAGTTCAACCTCACTGCTGTTGAGCAAATGCATTGAATTATTTATTGAGCATGGTGCAGCGTAGCACCGCGTTGGCTTTGTGGGGGTAGTGCTCATGGCCCTGAACCCGTCGGTGTCCTTCGGGAGGTTTGCAAGCGATGTTCCCCTAAAGGAGAGGGCGCGGGAGGCACGCTCTTGGGGCTCCGCAGAAACCCGCTGCGGGGTGCGACTTGGTTCCGAGCGCAGATACCTCGGGTTCCCTTCTTTCCGAGTGATTCTTTCTCCTCTCCCTAGGTATGGCTTTGTGGAGTTTGATGATCTGCGAGATGCAGATGATGCCGTTTATGAGCTAAACGGTAAAGATCTCTGTGGGGAGAGAGTGATCGTCGAGCATGCCAGAGGCCCACGTCGTGACAGCAGTTACGGTTCTGGACGCAGTAAGCACTAACATGCATTTGTATCCGTGACTTATTTTAAATAAAACATTTTTGCTCGTTTTTTTAAAAAAAAAGTAATTTTAAAAGAAAATGATATGAAGTTGTGAATAGTGTTCTGTAACTGTAAATGTAACTGTTGATCTGAATATTTATTTTGTTTGTTGTATTAAACTATTTTAATTGATAAATTAATAAAACACAATTTCTTGTACCATTTTTATTATTATCATTTCGTTTAACTATTTGAATGGTTTATTTGCAATGTGATGTTTAACATAGATTTAACAAAGACCTCAATGTTTTAATTAAAAGAGTCCTTTGAGGCTAAGATGACTGCCCGTTCCATTTGCTGACCTTGGGGTACCTTTCCATGAGTGGCTCTTTGACCTTTGTGGCCCTTGGCTGACCAAAAAAAAAAAGGAAGCCATGTGACGACCGCAACCTTTTCCCATTAGACCTGGGTGGTGAGGATCCCAAGGGTTAGAGACAGATGAGATTAATCTGAAATAGGTGCCTGAAAAGCTTTATTCATGTCAGATATTCAGAAAGCCTTTAAGCAATGTAAGTAACATTAGTCAACTGGCTTAATTCGGTTTCTTCTTTCAAACTGTTTTAAAAATAACTTTTAAGTTTAATTGCATGTTAATTGTAGCGTAATTATAATGGTGTGCATTGTTTTAATTATGTGCTTGTAGTAAAATTTATTTTTTTTTTTAAATGCTTTGGATCTGTGTAACATTTTATACAAGGGGGATCAAATGTAGGCTGGCGGGTGGGTGAATTTTTGATGTATTTGCGAACATACGGGGCAGAACAGTTTCCGTCCGGGATGTAGAGCGAGCGCTCCATTTCCCTAGCTGAAGTACTGCTGTCTGCTTGTCACCTCCTAAAGGTGGATATGGTTATAGAAGAAGCGGAAGAGATAAGTACGGTCCTCCTACCCGTACAGAATACAGATTGATTGTGGAAAATTTGTCAAGCCGCTGCAGTTGGCAAGATCTTAAGGTATGGGGCCCCTTTCTTTACCCTCTCTCTATTAAAGAGCACAAAGGGTAAAAAAGTTAGCTTCCGTTTCAACAAGGAAAACTCATATACGCCTGTGTTCTTTACTCCAACTTGTTAATAAGGCTGTGTGCTCGTGTGCATACGAGTAGGTTTTGGAAGTGATACACACCTTAAGTCGATATGGAAGTGTATTTGCGTGTCTGAAATCATTAACGTGACGTTGGGAGTTGCACCTGCAGACTTGGTGTCACTGGACAGAGGGAGAATAACTTTTTTCCTTAATACAAACCAACATCACGTACAGATGTGTTTTATCTTTAAGCCCTGTCAAAACAGGCTTTAATCACGCCAGTGGTAGGATTCACTAGAGATGGAGGAGCTTGCCCTTGTCACTTTGGATTTCACTCATCACCTTGTAAGGTGTTAGAGCTATTTGGAAACGATAGCATCGTTCTTGCGCAGTCTCTGTTAAGAATTTCTACACCATGTCAAGCTGTTCTAAAGAGAGTTTCAGGGAAAGGATGCTTCCAGAATGAGCAATCGTGTAAAACCTCTGCCAAAAGCTAGCATTTTCTTAAGCCCAAAGGAGTGGAAGGTGATTCTCAGCAGTGGAAGCGTTGGGTATCTCTGCGTAGCCCACAGCCCCTCCGAGTAGGCTGGAGGGGAAGTGTTGACTCATCGTTATCTCCATCATGGCTTGAGGGGGCAGGACAGGGAGCAGAATTTCAATAGTAGGTGCAAAAAGATAGTGTTGCCTTGTCAAACTTAGCAGCAATGGTTCAAAACGCTTGTTCTTACAGGAACGCTTTCTTTTATGGTTCTCTTTTAAGGCTGTGTAAAATTTGTTCTAAACAAACTTTGACGTAGTAGAAACTGGTCTGTAATTGAATATGTAACACTAGTTCAGGTACGTACTGAGATTCTTCAAATGTCTTTTGTTGTTAATGCTTCACACCATCAGTAGCTTGTCTTTGCTTCTGGTATTAAAAATTGTAAGTAGAGCATGGCATGATTAATCCTCTACTGGATGCATTGCTTCCTTTGAGTAGCTTTCATTTCAGTGTACTTAAGATGGGAGTAGCTGGGTTAAAACCAGACCGGACTGGAGTTTGGGCCCCGTTTCCATTGCAGCCAAAGTCCGCAGTGGCTGAAAGGGGGCCCTGTCTGATGGCTCGCTCGCAGCGGGGCAGAGCGGCCCCCCCCAATAAACAGAGGTGTTTAGTAATTGAAACAGAGAAGCCAGGAAGCATGAAGTGGGAAAATGAATTGAGCTTTTACTTGAGTGTGGGTTTCTTCCAGCAGAATGAGATACGTTACCTAGGTGGAGGACGAAGGGAAGTCTGCTTGCCTGTCGCCTTCTTCCCTCTTCATATTCGACCTTTATCACCTTTCCCGAGTTACCTTTGAAAAGCATTTTATTTCTTTAATCGCTTTTGTAATTTGTAACTTCTCATAGTCCAGAGCGTATTTGATATTAGACTCGAGATGGGAGACCTTAAATTATCATCTAGCTCAAAACTATCACCACCACCTCGGTTCTAATCACACTGAAATCGTTAGTGTTATTTGGCTTGCTCAGAAACCTTGGCGTTAGCACTGCAAATGCTGTTTGGTCAAAACCCTTGCTGAGATCCGTGTGAATGGAAGAGGCTAAGGGAGCATCGTTGCAGAAATGAGCGGGGGTCAGCCTGGAAGCCTGACTCTGGATTCAAGGCAATGGTTATTCTGTCCTCTTCCTCTAGGATTATATGCGTCAGGCAGGGGAAGTGACATATGCAGATGCACACAAAGGAAGGAAAAATGAAGGTGTGATTGAGTTCAAATCCTATTCTGACATGAAAAGAGCCCTTGAAAAGCTGGACGGGACAGAAGTAAATGGCAGAAAGATTAGATTAGTGGAAGACAGACCTGGATCAAGACGGCGCCGCTCTTACTCCAGAAGCCGAAGCCATTCGAGGTATGTCTCTCTATAATGTAGCTCAGGCTGAATCCAGCTGCAGTTACGTGAATATACAGCAGGTTCCAAAACACCTTGGAAGTGTCGAGAGTTGTCAAGAAATCTAGTTTCTGAGAGTGTAGTAGTTACCCGCAAGTAACCAAGGGAAACGAGGCCTCTGTTCAGAGGTGTCTTCCTTGGTGAACGTGTGTATCTGCTCGCTGAACGCCCGACAGCGTGCTACTCCTCTTCCCCAGCTACATCAAGTCCACGGTCCTTGCTGTCTTGCAGGGGAAGGCTGCGTGGCAGGTGGAGCTGTGCGTGCAGAATGAAACAGAAGGTGCTTTTAACGCTTTGGCTCTGAACATTGTGTTCTGCTATAAGCCCCAGGACTAACAGCTCTTTCTCAGCTTGGAAACCCCCACCCCTTTCCCGTTTCTTAGAGATTTGCTGCTTTCGTGGTATGATCGAGAGAACTGCTTCGGCACGCAACACCGAGGGTTTTCCCCTTTCCGTTCTGGGGTAGAACTTGTTGTCGCAAGAAAAGGCAAACTGCTGCTGTTCATAGAACAGCTTGCTTATGAAATCAAAGCCTGAAGGCAAAGCTTTGTCCTAGGGTCTCACTCCCTTCAAACTCTGACTTGATTGGGAAAGTGATTGTCGCTTCCCTACCTAAAATAAGGGTGTGTATTTTCTTCCAGATTAGCAGCCCTGCTCACTTCCAGACGTGGCAGCAGGGGATGAGCAGTGGGGAGAAGGGTACTCTAAGTTTGTAACCGTGTTGTGTAATGCTTTTACCATTCGGCTGCTTGAAAGGTGCTTTAATGCTATGGGGTTTTACCCACAGGGGACCAAGGAATCACAAGCTCTCCATGGGCATGTCCTAATGTTAAGCTGCTTCGTTTTGTTCCAGGTCTCGCTCTCGAAGCAGGCATTCTCATAAGAGCAGGAGCCGCAGTGGCAGCAGTAGCCTAGATCGAGATCCAGGTATGTCTTTGTGTTGGAAGAAAGGGGGGCTACCCACTTCAATGAGAAGCGTCATCCTAAATTTACAGGAGGAACACTGTTTGTTTTTTCTTTTCCCTACCGTATTATGCACACTATTGAAGTGCTAGTCAAATCCAAGCCGCGCTAAAGCGGAGCTGTCTGTTGCCTTTCTACTTTCAGGTCTGTGTCCCGTTCCAGAAGCAAGAGCCGTAGTCGAAGCAAGAGCCGTAGCAGAGGCCAAAAAGAGAAAAGCAGGACTCCAAGTAAAGAGGATAAAAGTAGGAGCCGCAGCAGGAGTGCAGAGAAATCCCGAAACAAAAGTAAAGATAAATCTGAGGGCACTCTCCATAACAGTGATGAGAAAGGAAAGAGCAGGAGCCGCAGCAAGGAAAACAGTAGGAGCAGGAGTGAGAGTAAGGACAGGGGAGAGACAAGGGAGAGCGTGAGGAGTAGGAGCAAGGAGAAGAGTAGAAGCAAAGACAGGGAGAAGAGCATTAGCAAGGCTAGAAGCAGGAGCAAGAGCAGGGATGAGAGTAGGAGCAGGAGCCACAGTAAGGATAAAAGGAAAAGCAGGAAGAGAAGCAGGGATGACAGCAGAAGTAGAAGCAGGAGCCGCAGCAAGAGTGAGAAAAGCAAGAGGCGCAGCAAGCGAGACAGCAAACCAAGTAGCAAGAAGAGAAGGAAGGACAGCCACGAGCGGTCCAGGTCAGCTTCCAAAGAAAAGGAGCATCTAAAATCAGATTCTGACAAAAAGGAGGCAAAAGGTGAGGGTGAGGATGCAGCTGCATGTCGGGTGTCTCGCTCCAGGTCTAGGTCGATTTCCAAGTCAAAACCAAATGTCAAATCAGATTCTCGTTCCAGGTCTAAATCTGTTTCAAAGCCTAGGTCCCGGTCCAAGTCTAGATCTAGGTCTGCCTCTAGGTCACGCTCCCGATCGCGGTCAAGGTCTCGCTCCAGATCCTAACCTTGCTGCAACCCCACTTGGAACGGTCAGAAAAGTCTTTTGTACATGTTTAGTAGTTGTAGCGCAAGTGATTGAAGTAGAAAACATGTCGATGCTGTATATTTTTAACAACCCTGATGGTATATCTGTCATTGTTAGCCGCAGTGCTCCCTCCCTGCAAGGCTCTCTGGTGGAAGGCTGTTCAGCTCATTTTCTATCCTATAGAAAAGTTCTCTTTAAATATAACTCTTCCCAGAGCACCAAATTTGCCCAGTTTTCCGGGAAGAGCCTTGCAGAGAATGAGCACTGCACCTCGGTGGGTTTATGAGATTGCAGTGATGACTGATAGGTAGGTATGATGGCTTCAACAGTCTTTGCCCTTGAATTGATGCCCTTTGATGTATGCCATTTAGTGGAAGTGCTAAGTCTTAAGTTTCATACTACTTTTGTTTCATATTTTTTGGACTTGCAAAGTTGTGAATAGCACAGTCAAAAGGAAAAACAAAACAAAACTATAGGTACTTGCAGTAATCCATAGGGAAAAGAAGTATAGTTCCATATTCTGGTATTGTGACAATATCCTTGTTTTATATTAAATTTTTTTATTTTATTTTTCCCTGTCTTGCAAAGTACAGTGATTCCTGTTTCCATGAGATTTGAATAAAGACTATTTTTGCTTGATGACATTTGGTGGCGGTTACATGAAGTTGTGTTGTGATCGTCAGTGTTTTGTATTGATCGGTGTAAGCTTGAATTTGCGGAAGAGTTACTCGCAGAGAATGGGTTCTTCATTTAGAAAGCCACTTACTAGTAAAGTTAGTCATGACCCTTGAATACAACCCAGTTAAAATAACTTGTTTCTCCAGAAACACTGTTTTGTTTGGAGCTTTAACATTGCAGTAAGGAGGCAGGCAAATGAACCAGAAGCGATAATGAAGGTGACAAGCCTGTTTTCCACTGTCTCCAGAAGTGAAATGTAGTGAGCTTCAGCTTCCATAATACAGGGAAGAAAATTTTTCGCCCACATAACTCGCTCGACTCAAGTCAACTGAAATTGTTTGTCCCACAACATTTTACACCTTGTACAGCTGATGCGGGAGGTAAGTTTGGCTGGCGTGGAAAGCGTGCTTCTCTGCTCTTTGCTTTATGCTGTAGATCATCAATTCAACTCTTTCCTCTTCCATACCGTTGGCCTTTCTTACCGTACCTGTGGGAAATGAAAGGGAAAGAAGCACGATGCTTTTACAGGTGTTTTTCCAGTCTGGCACACTCAGCAGGAGAAAGCGAAGCCGTCCCCGCTGTTTACTTCTGGTCCTTTGATTTCATGATCCCTGCTTGTGAGTTTGGGATTTCAGTCACAAACCGTGACGTTCTAAATAGGGAAGTCCCAGGTGGGACGAGGACGTTACGGACTTTGATAGCATGAACCAGCCTTTGCCCTGGGCACTGTCTTAATGTTCCTCCCCAAAATGGAGGGGGAATTGTAGCTTGGGGATTTCCGATCATGGATTGAAGGTTCAGTTCGTGTGTGGCCCTTTCCTAGGAGGGAGCTGCTGTGCAGAAACCCCGTCGGCTCTGAATTCGCAGTGTCCGGACGGGCTCTGCCATCCCACTGAAATTCCCCAGCACTCGCTTTCCCAGTCCGGCTTCTCTAGTTACACCCAGAGGAATTTGGCGTTGAGGATGGAGCCTCACCCTGGCTCTTCTCAGCATATTTTCCAGGAGGTTTTCCTCCTAATAAAACACCTGGGCTTGGGGGGAACCTTTATAAAAGAAGGGCAGGATGGGCTTCTGAGGAGCTCTGGGCTTGGAAACTCTGAGAGTGGCGGGGGCTGCTCCCCTGGTGTGTCCCCAGCATCCCTGTGGACAGGGCGGGGAAGGCTGGCAGCTTCTAGCAGGAGTTTTGTAGGTGTTCCTGAAAAATATCCCAATTTTAGACTTGAGGCCATTAGCAAATTGCTTAAACTGAACTTTCCACAAGCCCTTCGGTTGCCTGGGTGGCTTTGGATGAAGAACTGACATCTCCAGCACCCCGCTCTGCCTGCCAGCAATGTTCTAAAAAATAAAAGGCAAAACATATTTTGTGAGTTCTTACTTGGTTGGGGTGTGAGGGGGGAAGGCGAGTTACAGTTTTATCAACAACTTTTTCTATAGCAAATTTCAAACTGCTAATGATACTTACGACAGCAGTTCTCGCAGCTAGATGTTAACTTCATAGGTGCAAGTAATTCCGTATAATGTGATCATTTGAAACTTGTACTGCCATATTAAAAAGATGAAGGGGCGCAAGATCATAAAAGTTGCTTTCAACACAAAATACTTCCATAGAGTTTGAGAGAGGTCAGGGCTTGGTGAGTGGCTCAGACTTTATCAAATGTCATATTACTACAGCAGCACGCGAAAGCTCTGCAGAAGTGATATTTAATTTCTTTAGAAGGAAAAGCCTTTTTTTTAACTATATATATTTAGTGCTTTAACATCTTAGGCTCTCATAAGAACATTTCTAATCCCTTTTGCTCCTTAATCTCCGTACAGAAGCAAACCAGACTAGGCAAGATGTTTGCTAATAGGGGGTAATTAACTGAAAAATACCTTTAAGAAAACCTGCAAATGATAAAGTCTAGGCTAAGGCTTTAAAAAGTGACTCTGGCTTTTGCTGTCTGGCTGCCAAAGCTGCTCCTAAGGAAGTGACCGTTTTTTTCTCCCTCCGGGAGAAACATTTCTTCCCTAAATACCTTTGGAGATGGAGGTACATGGAAAATCTTTGGCTGAGGTGTACCTTTTTCGTTGTGTGCAGTAAGGGATGTTCCCTGCATCGGGAAAAACAAAAATCCTTCGGGGTTGTGTGCGTGAGCCCCTCGGGCGATGCTGAAGGTACGGGGCCAGGACCTGCCCTGCGCGGAGGTTTGTGTGTGTGCAATGGGGCATTAGCGTAGGGTTTCTGATCCAGTGAATTGTGAGTTCCCTGCTTTTGTTCCTGCTGTTTTCAAAGCAGGTGATTGATTGTGGCAAGCAAATTTTTGATTAAAAAGGTGTTTAGGAGTCAGGCAGCCCAAGATCTGTGCCTGTTTGCCCAAGCCTCTGTGTGCTTCTGTATCAGGAGGAGCCTTTGGCTTAGTTGTGTGGGGGCAGCTCTTAACAAAATCACTGAATTCTTTAAAGATGAACCTACAGCATCAGTTCAGAAGCGCTGTTCTGGATTTCAGTATGAACTTGGTCACCTCTTGGGGACGGGGTCTTCTGCAAAGCCCAGGGTTGCTCACCTGCACTCCACGCTCCTGCTACCTCAACAAACCTTGCTCCGAGGCTGTGATCCGGCTGGATTCGTTGGGAACACAAGTAACCCCAGGGAAGGGCTGGGACTCTTCTCATGCTTGACACGAAGCCTGTGCTTAGGCACCTCCTACCATTCGGCTCTGCACCCTCCTGTGCTTTGATTTACCCCTAAATGCGCCCAGATCTAAGCAGGGGCTGCAGTGATGGAGCACCCCCAGCAGCAGCATTACCCCCATCCCGGGGCAAGCTGCTCTCTCAGCCTGCTGTGTCTTTTTTTTTTTTTTTTTGGCTGAGTTGAGGTTGCCACATCTCTGCCGGGTCAGATGAAGTTACAACGCCAGGAACCCGGCTGTACCATCACACGCACGTGATGCAGCTCCAGCTCATGCTGGGCACCCGCTCAGAAAGGATGTGGTAGGAGCAACGGCGGGGAGAGCGACTTCCTGAAGAGGAGATTTCATCAGCTACGACCATTAGGAAGGTGAAAAATTAAACCCTTGCCCCAGCTCTGGGCTCTGGCCCTTCTTTGGGCATCAAATACCCCAGTGCCTTCCTGCAGAAAGGTTCCAGTGTTGGCAGCAGGACCAGC